ATACAATTATCCAGCATCATCTGCACAATACAACAAATTTGTTGGAATACCTGCCAATACGCTTGGCTAAAATAGCAGCCCGGTCTCGTGTAGCATTACTTGAATTGATCGTTCCCATATAGCATGTGTGCAACAGTAATCTGGATGCAATTCAAAACCAGTTAACATTATAGCGTTCATTGCTGGCCAATATCAACAGTCAATATGGCATGTTTACATACCCACAGATCTTGGATGGCGACATGCTGCTTGTATCAATACTGGCACCCACAATGGCTTCAAGATCTTGAATCACCTTTTTATCTAAATCATGGTATTATTTCAAAATATCTGGCCATATGTGGCTAACAACACCATTGACTATCAAAACATACCTGAACAATCAAGACGTGCATGAACAAGCTCGCACATGGAAAACACTATCAAAGCAGACGAGCAGCTATCAATACCACCACTAAGTGGAAGAAAATAGCCGCCTGACTGTGTTCGACGCAAATAGTCCCAAAGCCAACACGCAGGACCAAGCCGGATTTCTTCAGACGGGCTATGATATTTTACAGAGCATGGTTGAGCAAGCGACTTTCCATTAAAAATCGACTCGCTTGTCAGACACACGTCTAGATGAACGACTGGAAAGTGCTCCTTGATCGATGCAGCTTGCAAAGAGCGGCTAACCAGCCCAGATCTGTATGCACGCACATCATCAAGATCCACCGTTGCTGTGATCACCTCCTAATAACCAATTAAAACCAGAACTTTTAATTTCAACATGCAACTATTCTACAACGCCATACAGCTACGCACCACTTCCGCCAATGAAAATTGAGCACCTTGTGCAACAACATCGCCGTTCAGCACAATCAAAGGACATCCATCATAGTATACACGCTCTCCATCGCATCCTTTCTGATTTGAGTACAGATAGATACCCCCGCACTTTTCAGTAGCACTTTTGATGAGCTGTACACGTTGTTCAAGTTTACAAAACTCATGATGACTTGCACTGCCGTTTGTAAATATTTCAACACCATCCAAAGACATTTGCACATGTGGACTGTGTCAAAGTGCATGATCAGCACCACTGTTTAGATTAAATGTCTTGTCACAAAATATTGTACTGCATTATAACTCAGTAGACCTACCTATGCGGTGTAAACAGTTCCTCGCATATCTCTGTGCCAATTACTGCACTAGATTGCAATGTTACGTGTAAAATAGGCCAGTAAATGGAGTGTCAGCAACAA